ATCCCAATAAGGGAAAAGTGTGTGTGTGTGTGTGTGTGTGTGTGTGTCTTTGTGTATGTGTGTGTGTGTATGGGGTCAGGTTGGGGTGGGGAGTATGGGTTAATTTATCAAGAATTTTAACAATTAGATTGAAAGTCTTAGATTACCCAAGATTAAATAAAAATTTTAGCAAGGAATCCATCTTCTCAGATTCTAATTTATGACACAGAGATTATCAAAATGGCCAAATCCATTTTCCTGAATCATTCTTAATGAGACTGTGCTAAATATATATGTAAAAGCATGAGGTGGACAGAGACCCTACTCTTTTGTTTATTGCATAGGAATCCCATAAGAGAATTACATATTGCTCGGTGTGTGGGGTTGCCCAATATTACAGAGTTGAGTTAGTTCAAATTTAGGACCTTCCCCAAACCAAACACATCGCCACTAAGTCAGCTCCATGCTAAAGTCACCCTATAGGGCAGGATAGAACTGCACCTGTGTGTTTCTGAGACTGTAACTCTTTACAGGGGTAGAAAGCCCCACTGGTCTTCCATGGTTGGCCGGTGGTCTCAAACTGCTGACCTTGTAGATCACAGCCCAACTTGTAACCACTATGCCATCAGGACCCTTGGGCTCACTAAAATCCTGATGGGAATGCTTCTCATGGGTTGGACAGTGTCCCTTAGATTAAGGGTGCCTGGGGGTACAGAGGCTTAGTCTTAATGTTGAGCTCCTTTCCTGTCTTCTGACAGTTCAGAAGTTATCCTAACTACTTTGTCTTTAAATGTTTTTCAAGGCAGTGGACCACCCTACTGGATGTTAAAACTTCTAGCCCAGTAAATTACACAGAAAGAATATGCAGCTGCTCTCACCAGGTGAGACAACATTACCACCACAACTTCCACGAGACTATTGCAAGAGACAGAGTGAGAACCTCTTGCCCCTGCCAATCAAATGAAGAACCTCATTGCCATCAAGTCGATTTGGGCCCATAATGACCTTATGGGACAGGGAAGAACTGTCCTTTTGGGTTTACAAGTCTTTAATTATCTACAGGAACAGAGAGCCTCATCATTCTCTCATAGAGTGACCGGTGATTTTGAACTGTTGTCTTTGCAGTTTACAACCCAATACATAACCAACGACACAACCAAGACTCAGCATTGCCCTCAGTGAGGGATAAAAAGGAACTCTTGTAAGAGAGTGAGAGGTGGTGGCAAAGAAGGGATGTCAAATAAAAAAATATATCAGGCTAGAGTTTAT